AGGAAGCAAAACGATTGTTTGTTTCGTGTAGGGGTACGTGGGTGGGTGCATGCTGCAGTGATGAAAAGCTACCGGTAGGTACCGAACGGCGAACGCGAACAGCAGCACTCATGCCAAGCGCCGCGCCGGCAGGCCTGGCGGCTGATTGCTCAACATTCAGGTAGCAGAAAACATCCAAAAGCTGCATTCATCCGTTCGTTCGTTCCAGTATCATGAATGAAAAATCGAATCCATATCGTACGGGCCAGCATACAAATACGTATAAATGTTGGGTGGCAGCATCACGGTGTTGCTCATGGGCGGGCGTAATCGGAGGAGCAAGATGCCCCACGCAACTCCACCACCGCCAGGCGCCAGTTCATTCATCGATGGTTGGAAGCAAAGCAAGGTGACAAGAGGACGGGGCCTGCCCTGCCGCCTGCTGCCTTCACCCACAGCCCAGCCGGCCAGTCCCCACCCACTTGGGCTGTTGCTGTGCCCGTGCCTGTCAGAAGAATGAGAAGCTTCCATCTCTGAACCCAACCGACGCAATCAGCGGCCAGTCCGTGCCCGTCCTTGGTTGCCGGGCGGCCCGCTCCCAGACCAGACGTGCCAAACCGACCAGTTGCCTGCCTGCTGCGCTGTATTTCTCATCCTATGCTACCTGCTGGCTTCACCCCTTGCCTTGAGTACGACCTGGTCACTGCTAGGGGTGAAATGGTACGGATATTTTCCAACCGTATTCGCGTCTAAATATTCAACATTCGATATCGTATTCGTATCCGAATACTTAAATCATATATTTATGATGTCGATATTTAATCGTATCCTATTCGGCATGATTGACACTATCCGATTTGAATCCGAATTCGAACATAAATATAAAAAACAAATGTAATATCAGTGATATCCATCCGTATCCGATCCGTTTTCATCACTAGTCACTGCTCGACGCTTACCAACTATACACTGTACGGTCACGGGCACGCACTGTGAGAAGAAGATCAACCGGTGGAACGGAAGAGACCAACCCGTTTAGCTATGCAGAGGTGAATAATACTATAATAGATGGATGCAAAGATCATGAGCTGCCCCATAATAAAACCGTCAGTAGTCATATGAATATTTCCTTCTTCCCTAATCAAGATCGGAGGAAGAAGATCGAGGGACCTATGGGGAATGTGGTCAGAAAACCATAATCGAGAAATTTGGACCACTTTAGATTACTTAAGTAGGAAAGAAGCTCATCGTGTTCATCCCGGCTCGGTCACTGACTGCTACGAGCTTGTTTGGTTCGGAACCTGGCTTGGGGTGCTCCAGCCACGCAGGTCCATACGGCCTCCGGCGTCCACACTCGGACGCCTAGGATGGATGTCTGGGCCGGTCCTTGAACCAAACACGCCGTATATGCTGGCATGGACGTGTTCATATATCTTGTCTCGTCGACATATCTTATTTTCAATTTTTTTTAAACCTAGCTAGTGTAGGAGGATAGAGCATTCCACTTGCTATTGTGTAACGAGAAATGGTGTCAACAATTTGCAAAAAGAAAAAGACAGAGGTGGTGTTAATACAACGAGTATATACAGTATAAATTCAGAGGCCGCTCGTGTATTTACCTTAATTCTAATAACATCCGGGCACTGCAAAAGGAGTCGTATTTTCTTGACTCCAGGTGTGGCCTAGCATATGGCCCATGTAGCAGCAACAACAACAAACGCAGTAACGAGCAGCAAGGCCGACGATTTGCTCCTCAGGTTAGGAGGTGTCCGTGGTCCTGTGGTGGTCTGGTGGACGCATCAACGTTGGGCCCCCGATCCGATCGTCTCACCTGCAGAGCCTGCAACAGGCCGAATCGAGGAAGCTTCCTCCCGCGTCCGTCCATCACACAGCAGGTCCGCAGCCCGTCCGTCGTTCGTTGCTAGTTAGGGTACGTTTCCGGCCGGCAGGTAGGTTCATCCCCTTAAATTATGCCGTCGGAAGCAAACAAATAGGCTGTTTGGCGTAGCTCCAACCCCAGCTCCAGCGACGTGTAGCTTGCGATGCGCAGGCAGAGGGCGAGGGAACGGGCAGAGAACTGCAGTCCGCGAAGGTTTGCGATGGATCGGTCGATGTCTAATCGGGTGCGAGGCCCAAACCGACTCGTATCCGCTTGATCCCTCGATCCAACGGCTGTCGGGTTAGCGGGCGACGTGGCTCTATCCGTTAGCCCGTTTTTGGTGTAGGAATACTAAATTATTTTTAAAAAAAATATTTTTATTTAATCTAAAATATAAATATAGTTACTTTTGTAAATGCACTTAACGTGCCTATAGCTCTAGATCTAGAATTTTCTAGACCTATTAGTGACTAACTCTACTACAACCATAGATTTTCTAATCTAGGGCTCTGCCAAACAGGGTCAAAACTCGTACGCACTGCATAACAACATAGTACCTCTTAGCAGAAGCCCTTCTTCTTCGCACAATTCCTATAATGCAATGAGCCTGAAATTGTGATTCATTTTAATGCACTTGATAATGGATGACCAACGACCTCCAATCACGTATGGATCACTAATAAGCTACCCGAAAATTAAATAGAAGATCTTCCACCTGGTTTTACCAAGTCAGGTGGAGGCTTCGGGCTTAGGGGGAGGGGGGGGCGCTATGCCCACTTGGTGCGCTCTTCACATGCTGAAGGACCAGAAAAATACAGAGGTTGATCCTCCAACCATTTCTCCAAATTGCCGGAAGGCTCAGGGGCTAGATCCACCCAGTCTACTTTTATGAATCTGGTAAACTACGATTACAGGAAAGTGCTTTGGCTTGATGGTATGAATAGTTGAAGGGACTACTGTTGACTACATGAGCCTCGGGTACCCTCACCGAGAACAAAATCGATACAAAATCGACACCTTACCGTGTGTGTGTGGGGGGGGGGTCTCTAAAGCAGGAGTACATCATCTTATTTGGCGGCCAAGAAATAGATAAGCATTAAAAAGCACGCAGGATTTCATGTATGATGAACAATGTCTTAAATTCAAAAGAAGTGCTCTTCTCTTTGTTTTCCTATTGTAAATAGGGAAAGGAACTATTGGGCAAGTAGGAAATTCGGCTCTTGTTGCTCTGCTCTTTGTCAAGTCCCCTGTTTACCCTTTTACTTTGTTTGATGATTGATACCCCGTTTACGTATTGGCAAGATATAGTAAAGCATGCAGGGCTCTTTTTTACACCCAAAAGCTACGAAGCAGATAACAAAAGTACATGGAGACTTGAGACTTGACTCGACAGATGTTGGGAGCACAGGGCACTGACAACGGCTAGCTAGTGCGGATTAGGTTAGGTTAGGTGGTAACATAATGCAAACAGGGACTTAAACGCACCGTGCTGACAGCAACGTCGCAACCACCGATGACCGATGGGTCGTCGGTCGACCGACCGCGACGCACTACCTACATCGACACGACGACACGACACGTCCACGCAGCGCGTGCTTTCTCGCGCATGCCCGTCGCTAGGCTATTTGCCCAGCTTGGATAAGCTAATTCGGCAGCCGCGGCCTGATCGATCGACTCCGGCCGGCCACTCGTACATAGACACGCATGATATCTAGCTACCTCTCAGTGCAGTTTATGTGTATACCAGCAAAAAAGTGCATATTTATTGCACCGATCGAATTATACTCACTTAGTATAAGACTACTTTAATGTCTGTATATAAAAAGGACAGTCTTTTCAGTTTCGAAAACATATCTTAAGACGACCCGGGAACTAATATGAAACGTCATAAAGATGAGGAAAATCCAAGATAAATCCATCTCAAATGCACCTTCTTATTTTATTTAGTGGCAATACAGGAAACATGAATAAATTCGACGTTCCAAGGAGACCTAAATAGTTGAAAATAAACCTATATATAAGTGCCATGTTCGCTTGACTGATAAGCCATGATTGAAAGTACTTTTGACTGATTTGTTGTGAGAGAAAAATAATATTAGTTGGCTGAAAAAGTACGGCTTATAAGCCAAGCGAAGCGAACAGAGCGAAGATGGATTGTTTAGATCTAGTAATTAAAGCTTCTTTTAGCAGGTAGCAATTTATTTTAGTCAATGCAAACAAGGTCTATATATACACTGGCTCTTACAGAGGAAAAAAGAATCTTATACAAATATAGATGTAACAAGTTACATATATAAGTATTATAAAGTTCCTCACAGAAAAAAAAAAAAAATTGTTGACCAATAGTAAGGACAGCGAACTAAGGGAAACCCAAAATGCACAAAACGTAGTCTACTGTGCCTATAACTTTAGCCATCACTAACAAAATTAAACAGACAAAAAAATTAATGATGATGTACCGGCGCGTTTGCAATCCAACGGTTGGCATTGCACCTCTCTTAAGTACATTTACCCTATCTATTTTTTTTTCCGCCTGTTTACCCTCGTAATAACTAACTTTTGCTACCTTTTATAGGAGCTCTCCAAAACGTAAAGATTATCAATAGAGTAACCCTCAGTTTTCCTCTCAAAAATAAAGAGAGTTATTACCAAGGTTTCTACATAGGAACGGACGAATCCAATGGAAAAAAGAAACAGAGAAGAGGAACCACAAGGTTCTTTTTTTTTTTGAGTAAAAAGGTTACACAAAGTTTCTGTTCGAGAAAAAGAAGTTTGAACACAGTTACTCAGATTATTGCACCGTGTTATATAAAAAAAAATCAAAGGAGAACTGGGACTCTGGGGCATAAAACATACACATATTATTTCAGTTTGAGCAGAGATGAATATATATATATGTTTGACATAGTTTGATGATGGATGAACTTGTGTTCCTATGACGAAAACAGATGGACCAACGATTTAAGTACATGACAAGAACGATGAATTTACTAACACAACAAACGAGACATGATGAAGTGAGGAAAAAAAAAACATCTTACCCAACTTAATCCCTCCTCTAATCTGAGCGGAACTAAAACCGCCATGCAGTCTGTGCGCGATGATCACCAAGGGTGCAGCAGGTCCGCCGGCCTCCGATCGATCACAAGTCGAAGCAGGCGCATGCCACCGCGGACGCCGCGGCGAGGAAGAGCACCGCGCGCCACGGCGCGGCGCCAGCGCGGGCGGGCGCGGCGTTGGGCTGGAACCCGGGGTCCTGCGGGTAGAGCGTCCCCGGCGTCGGCGGGTTGTACCCGGACCCGGGCGTGTAGGGCGGCGTGAACCACCCGCCGCCGCCCCCAGACGGCGTCGGGTTGTACCCGCCGGGCGTGTAGGGCGTCGCCGGCGTGTACCCGCCTGGCGACGGCTCGTAGCCACCCCCGCCCGACGGCGGCGGCGGGCAGTAGGGCGTGGTCGGCGGCGGGTAGTACTCCGGCGGCGGCGGCGGGGGGAGTACACGGGCGCCGGCGGCGGGTAGTACACCGGCGGAGGCAGCGCGGGTGGTGGAGGGCTCGCGTACACGCACGGCTCGCCGCACGGGTTCCCGCACGGGTTGCTGCACTTCTCGTCGTCGGCTTTCACGACCGCCGCCGCCGAGGCGACGATGACGACGACGAGCAGAGGAAGCATGGACATCAGGTGGTCCCACGGCGGCGGCTGTGGCCGCCGCGCCATGCTGCTCGATCAAACCAAATTCTTCTTCCTACTTGGCTCCTCCTCGCAGAGACGCAGAAGGTAGGAGCTGAACAAACTTTTTGTTGGAACTCTGCTCTCTCCCTCTCTGGCTCTGTGGGCTTTGCAGGGTAGGCCGGGTTGGTCTGTTCTGTTTTCAGTGGATGAGTATATGCTGCGTCTCTTGTATTCTCTTCTTCCAGCTTTGGTTCGGTTCGGACCTCTCTTTTGTTCTTCTGGATGAATGAATGAATATAATTCGGGTGGTGGTTATAGTGGTCGGCCTCCGCTTTAGCTTTCGGAGGGAGCGGGAGGTGGAGGTCGTCCTCGTCCGTCCCCGCCCCGCGCAGGCCTGCTCTGCTCTCTTTTTTCTTCTTGTCATCAGGCGTTGTTGATGCGTGTGTTTTCTGCACTGTACGTACTATCAGTTACTAAGTAAGCATGTTTGCTCCTGATGATGTGCCTGTGACAGCAAGCAGCGGCCTAATCCTAATAAACTTGCAGTCTAGTGTATCTACGGCTGCAAGCAATTATGACGGGGCGGGGCAGTGCTGCTTCTTGGTGCGCGGAAAGGTGGCGTGATCTAATTGTTGTTGCGCTGTGCTGTGCTGTTCTCCCTTCCCCCTTCGTTCTACGTCTCTCTCTTTAGTCCATTTCTGAAAGTGATCGGAATATCTTCTCCCTTTCCAGGATTTGTTTGAATCCACCGTTTCGAATGGACCCCCCTACGAGTCACGAATTCGATCGCAAGCGGCCGCATTTAGAATCGCTATAGATGCGCGGCCGCCTTCCTTGTGCGTAGATTAACGCCTTATTTAGTTGGACCCCAAAGTCTAAAAAGTTGCTATAGTACCTGTCACATCGAATGTTTGCGGCTCGTGCATGGAGCATTAAATGTAGACGAAAATAAAAACTAATTACACAGTTTGGTGGAAAATTGTGAGATGAACGTTTTGAGCCTAATTAGTCCATATTTGAACACTATTTGCCAAATAAAAATGAACATGCTACAGTAGCCCTAAAATCCAAATTCACCCAACTAAACAAGGGCTAACCTAAACTAGACATGTTTGGTAGAAATTCAGTTCTTTTCTTTAAGAACGCTGGAGCCTGCTGCCTCTTTTGTTCCTTGCCCTTTCGATTTTTATTTTTTTTTACCTTGTGATGGTGGTAATGGAATCCGGTGAGCTGTTGCTCTTCTGAGACGCTCCTGCTACTGAAGTTTGGGAGCTGATCTCATCTGATAAGTTTTACTCTTGATTGCAAAAGTAAAAAAGTGTGGTGCAGTGTATGATCATGTATTTGACCATTTAAGCGTTGAATTGTCGGATGGGCGAAGAAAGATGTCAGCATGTTCGGTTGGCTGGTTCGTATTGTTGCTGATTCGTTTATGTGAGAGAGAAGTACTGCTGGCTGGTTCACGTGAATAGTATCCATGTGAGGGAGCTGGCTAGCTAGCCCAGCCAGCCCGCCCCAGCCGATCGGGCTGTCAGTTATTAGTGGTGTCGGATACCAGAAAATGGGGTACCCAAGCAAAGATCGAAAAACTGCTTAGACCATAAAAACAGAACCAACGGAATAAACAAACGAGGTCTCGGCCGAAATCTCTGATTCGCCCGAGACCCTGTCGCCGAGCCCCAGCGGAAGCAAACGATTCTCCGACTCGCCCGAGACCGCCTCGCCGAGGCCCCCGCGTCGAGGCCCCCTCGTCGAGGCCCCCTCGCCCGAGGCCTCGGAAGAAGTGCCGATTCTCCGATTCGCACGAGGCCGGCTCGGCACCAACCCCGTGACCACCTTTTTGACCAAACCGCTCTGACCGAACGTCGCATCCAAGCGCCCAACCACTCCGACAGACGCACGATGGCACAGTACAGCGAAGTGACCGACTACACGCCAGTCGCGTCAACCTACTGCCATCTGCGACGGCACAGAGTTGGTTACCGACCACTGTGCTGCCTAACTCCTGCACCAAGGACATCGCAACGTGGGGAGTCAGAGCGGGTTCCGGTAGCCTCAGAATCAGCGGACCGACCGCTCCGTCCCGCCTGAGCCCCCTCGACAGGGCCTCGGATTCACTGATCTTACTCCGCCTCGCCCGAGACCCCCCCGGTAGGGCCTCGGACGAATTGGCTGCGCTCCGCCTCGCTCGAGGCCGGGCTCGTCCCGCAACCTCGTCGCCTCCGCCTCAAAAGTCTCTCTGGCAGGCTGTCGCATCCGATTAATGCGCTCAGCTGCACCCGCTACGTAAGCCACGATCGGCAGTGCGCTGCAACAGGAGCGACGGAACAACGGTCAGATCACATTTTCTACCATCCCTTACTGACAAATACAGGTGCCGTATCCTGTAGGCGCACATCTCGCACTATTCCGCCTGATGGCTGCTGAGACCCGCATCTGCACCTGGGTCACTTCTCAGGCCTCGGCACGGCAGGCCTCGGCACGACCGGCTACGATGGCCACTGGGCCTCTGCGATCCACCAAGTCAACAAATGCGTAGCATGTTACTTGCAGTGGAGACCATACCGATTAGACATCTACAGGAACTCCCACGACAACGCCATGCTACTCCAGGAGTAGATACGTCATCGAATAGTCCTTGCTCCACGTATAGCTCTCTTATGTACTCCTGGTTTCCTCCCTGCGGCTATAAAAGAAGGCAGCCAGGACCGTTTCTGAAAACGACGGATAGGGTCACGAACACTCGCACGAACAACGCGCCGCATTCTGTAATTCATATCACCTCCCCTCACAGAGACTTGGGACGAACTCCCTCTCTCGCCTAGCTTGTAACCCCCTACTACGAGCACCCCGGTGCAAGGAATACAAGAACATCTTCTCAGACTGGACGTAGGGTATCCATTGCCCGAACCAGTATAAACCTTGTGTCTCTTTGCATCTCCATCCGGAATTGGGAGCACGCAGCACAAATTCACTAGTCGGTTAAGGACCCCCGGTTCCGAAACATCAACAGTTGGCGCGCCAGGTAGGGGCCTCTGCGTGTCAGCTTAGTCATCCCACCAGATTCCGGATGGCAGATCCCGTGCGATCGTTGCGTCTCGGGACGATCGTCTGGTTCGGGAGCCTAGAATTCATGTCTCTAGGGCACGAGTACGACATGGTACTCCTCTCACCCAGAGCGCCATCAACCGACGATGACGTCTTGCACCGGCAGCCCACGCGCGGACGGCGCCCGGGCCGCCGCTCCCGTCAAGCTCGCCGAGCGCCGCACGGGCGAGTCCACCCTAACACCACGCAAGTACAGAACGCCGATCTGTGCTCCACCGGAATCCCATACCCCGCTGCTGGCACAAAGTCCCTACGCGGGGACCTGTCCGGCTTAAGCCTCGACAGGGGAAAAGGGCCGGTGGCGCACAGCGACGCCCCGTCAGCAAGCTCTGTCCCGCCTCCTCTCGAGGAGCCAGCTCTGACGGAGCAGAGCCTGGCGACGGCGCCATCCTCGTACCCTTTCGGGCTGACCAATGTCGCCGCCTCCTACGCCACCGCCCTCGTCTCCATTCATCAACATCATGCCCATAACCCCATAGTCACAACTCCAATCCACCCCCACTCTGACTCCTCGGAGGAGGACGAGGCGTGGGTTGGAGCAGACTTCTCCGGGATTCGCGACCCTGAGGCGATGTGCCGCTTCATGATCGCGAGCGACTACTGCTTCGGCTATTTCGATTCCGACGGCGAGGACGCTTACGACCCAACTCGTGAGTGTTTCCACATCGGACTTGGAATGCCGAGCACGGGCAACGATGGAGGAAGGGCAGCCAACGCCACACCACCACGCACGGGGTCCCCGCTAGCGGCGGCAGGTGTCCCCACCCCCGAAAAACTTCAACGCATAGACCTAGAGCAGCTCCGTGAGCTTCAAGCCAAGGTCGAGCAAGATCGACTCCTCCTGCAGCAACTCCGAGCCACCCTCGAGCAAGAGCAGCGGGGGCGCGGCGATGGCGGAACGGCCCGGCTGGGGGCTCGCGACGTCAACCGCCGCATTAACGATGATGAAGGGGGCGAGCAACCCCCTGTCTTCAATCGCGCTAGCCAGAACGTCGCTGCGGCGGCAATACTGGTCCGAGTGATGCCCGAGCCCTCTACCACGGAGGGGCGACGAGTCCACGGTGAACTCCGGGGCCTTCTCGAGACTGCCGCAGTGCAGCAGGCCGAAAGCTCCGCGTCTCGACGACGCGGGGATGCCTCGAAACAGCCCTCGGTGCACGACCGCCTCTGGGCCCCCTCGGTGCACGACCGCCTCAGGGCCCCCTCGGTGCACGACCGCCTCGACGACCAATGCGAGGCGCAAAACGGCCACCACATGGGCGGCAGACGATGGCGCCACGACCACGATGGGGCCGCCCTGGGCTACCGAGTGCACAGAGGCAGTCGCTATGACAGTGGGGAGGACCGCAGTCCTTCTCCCGGGCCGCCTGGCCCTAGAGTTTTCAGTAAGGCCATCCGCAGCGCCCGCTTCCCGACCCGGTTTCATCAACCAGCGAATCTCTCAAAGTACAGCGGCGAGACCAACCCCGAGCTATGGTTGGCCGACTACCGTCTGGTTTGTCAGCTAGGCGGTGCGGACGATGACCTGCTCGTCATCCGCAACCTCCCCCTATTCCTATCAGACTCAGCGTGAGCTTGGCTCGAACACCTTCCCCCTATGCAAATCCACGACTGGCGCGACTTGGTAAAGGTCTTCGTCGGGAATTTCCAGGGCACCTACGCGCGCCCCGGAAACTCCTGGGACCTCAAGAGCTGCCGCCAGAGACTGGACGAGTCTCTCCGAGACTTCATCCAACGTTTCTCTAAGCAATGCACCGAGTTGCCCAGCATCGGTGACTCAAAAATCGTCTAGGCATTCCTCTCCGGCACCACCTGTCGAGACCTGGTCTGAGAATTAGGCCGGAGCGTACCGACCACGGCATCCGCACTCCTCGACATCGCCACCAGCTTCGCCTCTGGCGAAGAGGCCGTCGGGGCCATCTTCCCCAACAACAACT